AATGGGTTTTTTTTTTCAAACTTCCTTGAATTTTACATCTCAGTTTGGGCATTGCTGCAAGCTGAATCACTTTAATTCTTTGATTTGTCACAAAAGGAGCGTGAATGTGCCACTACTGTGGACATCAGACTAGAAATTAAAGCCAAACACCTAGTAATGAAGAGAATACTATTTTGAAGTCACTCAGTGCAACCAACAAGCTAGGCTCATAGACTCACCAAAGAGACCTATGTTTGTTCAAGGAATGTCCATTTGCATAACATTGTAGATATGAGTCTACAATTCAAACATAATTATTTTTTATTAGTATATAGTCAGTGGTTGCTGCTATTGCAAACCTATCCAAATAAAGCAGTTTCTACTACTTATTAACAGAGTTAGACAAAAATTCCCTAAACTATATTGGTCTATAAAACATTATTTAACATTCAGGCATGAAAATGTTCCAGCCCTTGTTTAATACAATGGAATAGGAAATCCAGTATGTGTACACACACATGTATCAGTAAAATTAATAAGGCTTCTCTAGGACTGCTTATTAGAGGACAGTTGATAAATATCCTAAAATTGGGAGAGATAAAAACTGTGTATTAGAAACTTCAGTAAAAAAAATGACCGTGCTGTCTAATACAATGCTATAGACCATGGGTGGGGACTATGGTCCTTTTATGACCTGTGGACTTCAACTCCCAGAATTCTTGAGCCAGCAGAGTAAAGTTCCTCACCTCTATTTGCCCAGGTTCGCCTGGTGCACCAGTTGCGCCCCTACCTGAACCGGGAGGCTCTCACAACAGTCACTCGTGCCCTTGTGACCTCTAGGCTGGAGTACTGCAATGTGCTCTACATGGGGCTGCCCTTGAAGAGCATTCGGCGACTTCAGTTGGTCCAGAATGCNCAAACCAAGTACTGAGTACATATGCATGCTTATACTTTGCATGTAATGAGTCTGTCTCATATATTAGTTTCACCTTTTAAGTTGCATTACTGAAATAAATGAACTTTTGCACGATATTCTAATTTTTTGAGTTTCACCTGTGCAGGAGGAGTATTCATAAGACACTCTTCCCTACTTTGCAAAGGAAATATCTCATTAGCAGAGTTTTGCTTATAATTTAGATTCCAAGCCAAGACATCCATAACATTTCTTCTAACTAAATACACAAATCACCTATAATGACTCTATTCCCTTCCCTGGTGCACATTAGTTAAATATATATAATAAAGAATGCATGACATAAATCAGGGGTAAAATCCACTACTGGTTCAGTAGCAATGTGAGCGCCCACACATTCGCCACCTCCACGCATGCGCAGGACCTTCTGCGCATGCGCAGTGTCAAAATGACATCCGGGCGGGTGTGCAGAGCCTGCTACCAAGTGCACCTGGCAAGCAAGTAAGCGAACAGATAGGTAAGCAAACAGCAAGAGGGGAGGAATCCACTGTGCCACATGATTTAGATTAGCATACATATCTAGAAAGCAGACTCTCCTGCTTTCTAGCTAATATAAATCGCGTGGCACAGCTGATCGTCAGAAATACCTGTTTCCTTTAACCGGTAGCATTTATTTTACTACCAGTTCAGGTGAACAGTTGGCATCTTTGCTACGGGTTTGGGTGAACCGGTCCAAACCAGTACCATATCATCCCTGACATAAATCAAACCACCAACATTTTAAACTATACGTGCCCACCTTACCCAAATTTGCCAGTGGTATCAATAAAATAATTCATGCAAAAGTAGGTTGAAAATTAAGCATTAAAAAGTTGCACATAAGTGTAAGATTGACAGTTTGTTTGTATTTCACTTGTATATCACTGAAAGGGGCCAATCAATTGCCAAAGCAATTTAGTCAATTGCCAGTTGTATAATTAAATTAAGAATTCCCTTAACTGGTTATCCAAGTTCAGAATATAGCACTACAGCTTCTAGCATCATTTTTCTACTTAATGGCCCTACAGATATCTTGAATTCCAAAGCTTCCTAAGAGAATCAGGGGATTTAAAAACCAACCTATCAAAAAAAAACATAAAACATCAGATTGTCAAAAACTGTTCCAGAAAGAGGCTGTGTTGCTGGAAGGAAAAATGGAAAATCTTGAGACAAGGGACACTATAAGATTCAAAATTAGAGCATTTATTGTCAATTGCTTCACAAGAATATAGCCTCAAATTGAGCACAGCTGTTGGCCAAATTGGCCTTAGACTTCTGCAAATTCTCCAACACACCTGACTATCTCAGAAAAAAGTCCCAGCCCTAATTCAAATAAGTTAATGCAGAACTATTAGGAGCAGGCAAAGGAGCAAGTATAAAGACAATAAATCACTATAGTAGCTTGGCTTTGATGCTGGATGTTTGCTTATATTTTGCCAATAGCTTCCTGAAGCACAGACTCCAATGGAGTTGTTTCCTGTGTTTGAGATCAGATGCCTGGAGGGTATAAAGGCCATGTTTACAGATTCAATATTTATAATCCAAATATTCAAAGTGGCTGAAGACCATGACAATGAAGTAATGAATAAACGTGCCCAACCAGGGGCGGGCTGCTAGGGGTTCATAGGGGTTCGGGAGAAGGCCTCCAGAGCTTGGGGAGGCCATTTTCACCCTCCTGGAGGCTCAAGGAAAGTCTCTGGAATCCGGGGAGGGCAAAAACGCCCTGTCCCCCACCATGGCCATGCCCACCAAGCAACTGGGCAGAGAACCCCTTGCTAAAAATTTTGAAGCCCATCCCTGTGCCCAACTGCGTGCTTTCATTAGAAAGTTTGTGTGGAAGAATCTCCCTCTTGGAAATCATTTTACTTATTTGATTTATTAAATTTATATACCACGTTTCATTCAAAGTGCTCAAGAGGGATACTTGCATACACATACACATACATATCATTTTTTCTTACCACAATAACAACACTGAAGTGAGAAAGTGTAACTAGCTCAAAGAGAACCAATGAGTCAATAGCTGCAGAACATTAGCTCTCTAATGGATCGTGAATATCTGTACTCAGAACAAGGCGTAAAACCTAGAACTTGTATAGCACTTGAAATAAATTCATACCAATTCTGACAAACTGCTCCAAAGACATTTCTGTTGCTAAGCAAGACAGTTGTTGCTAAGCAAGACAATTTTGCCCCATTTTACAATCTTTCTTTCCACAGTTGTTAAGTGAATCATTGTAGTTAAGTTAGCGATACAGCGTTAATAGGGAATCTGGCTTCCCTATTGACTTTGCTTGTCAGAAGGTCGCAAAAGGTCATCACATGACATTGGGATACTGCAACCATCATAAATATGTGTCAGTTGCCATGCATCTGAATTTTGATCAACTGACCATGGGGATGCTACAATGGTTGTAAGTGTGAAAAATGGCCATAAGTCACTTTTTTCCAGCACTGTTGAAATTTCGAATAGTCACTAAATAAATTTTGATCACATGACCACATGCTGCAATGGTCATAAGTGTGGAAAACTTATACATGACTCATAAGTCACTTTTTCAGTGCCTCTATAACTTTGAACAGTCACTAAATGAATGTTTTAAGACGAGGACTACCCATATCTCCTTCTCAGAGATGGTAATACGACCAGGAGGTTATTTAAGGCTGCAAAGGAACTATTTGAACTAGGAACGTTCCAGTTCTCACAAAGTGGCACCACATTTCTCTAACATTTAATACAAGGAAAACCATCTCCTTTGTTAGGGTGACAAGATTCAGCAATATATTGCTAGCTATCAGCTGTAAGAGGCTGTAATTTAATGCTCTTTTCCTTTTCAGTATCTCTTTAAAATCAGAGTTCAAATGTCCTGGCTCAAATTTCAAAACCGTTAAATATAGGTTTTTTAGCGTGGCAGCTATGACTCCAACAAGGGTTCATGCCAACAATGTTTATCTAGTCGATAATCAGATCAATCACAGGGCAAGGGTTTTTTAAAAAAATGACTTGTAGGTATCACGTAGCAATTTTCAGCTGTTACCATCAGCTGCTCTCTGACAGGGTGAAATTATCAGACTAAATGCTGCTTCATTCATCTAACTAATAACAAATGGTTTCCATGGTGAATCACTAACTTATACAATCAACATTCAATAACAATATTAAACCATAAACAGGAAGAATATTGCTTAGAGATATTAATAGTACATTAATGCTCCATAGCCATCTCAGGGAAAGGATACCCATGATAAAATTACAGGCATCAGGAAAGAGGCCAAGGCACATATTTCAAATTTCTAGATTTGATCCATAAAATCTCCAGGCAAGAGAAAATGAAGTAAGTCTTCTGTCCAAGTCCTTTGAGGGCTACTGAGGTCTGGCACAGATCAAACTGGGGTAGATGAATTTATAGTCTGATGTGTGGCAACACAGTTCATATATTCATATTCAAATCATATGCTTCACCTTTATTGAGTACGTTAAAGGACTTGTATTACTGTTAATAATGCAGTTTACAGAAACGGATTTCTCCTCCATCCCAAGATTTAAAAGACTTCGCTGCAAGCAACGAACGCTGCTTTGAAATAGAGTTTATTTTCTCTTTCACTATGTCACAAAATAAACAAACTGTATAAATCAATGGCCAAAGGTCCCGATGAATATAAAACTGATGCCGATTAATAACAGAGGGAAAAGGTAGAAGGGAGTATTAAAGGAAACCCAACAGAGAGTGAAACCACTTTTCAAAACACCCACACAGAGACAGCCTCTCCCGACAAGAGAAATGTTCTCTACCAAAATAAACCACAAAGATTCTTTTCATGAAAAATTAAAGAGTTCTCTATATGCAGATTACATGACATTTAATTTTAGGAAACTGCTGAAATGAACCTCTTTTGTGCATGATTCACAGTTCATGAGATAAATGATTAAACAATACACATCCTTTTAGATAATTTAATATCCTCCTTTTAACATGCTTAATTCCTTCTTGAGATATGGTTCATATATTACCTAGGTTTAATTATTAAAACAGAAATAGAAACCATTATAAAACCATTTGTATCTTACCTTGGCATTGAAACCCTTGTTTTCCAAACCCCCTGCAAGGAGAAGGAGAAAAAAAAGAAAAGACTTAGAAATATATTTTGATATTAAATTAATAACAATCTACAATATGTTTAAACTTATTGTCATAGCAAAATGAAGCTGTCAAGATCTCTTTTCAACTAAAAACAGGAATTTATTTTCAAATTCCTATATTCAGTTTTGAAGAAAATCTGTTAAGTATTGCACAATGATATAATATATCAATGTAGTGTGGAAACATTGTGATGTGCTACACTTAATATGAGAAATAATGCAAGCCGTCTTATATTTGATGCTGTATGTAATAGTAGCTTAACATTTATTCTACTAACATTTACTAACATTATCACTACTAAAATTCTGCCACAGGAGAAAATATATTTAAAAATGGGCTACAAGTTATTCAAATGAAATCCATGTTTCCTTGGAAGGCACTTCTTGATTAAAAAAAAAAAACAAGTAATATTATTTTGACAATGTAATGATTCATATCACTCTGTTAGGATTCCTTTTGATGATATGATAATTAATGATTAAACTATCTTTGCAGCTTTTAAAGTCCAAAGTACAGCACTGTCATATTTGGCTATTGAATGATAATGTGTCTCATTCAGACTCTGATAAGTCCTTCGGGATTGGGCGGCATATAAATATATTTAACAAAATAAATAAAATAAAATAAATAAAATAAATAAATAACGTGGCATTCTCTAGATAAATTAGACTCCAATCCCCATAGGATCTGATCCTTGCTCAGAATTAGAGAGGCTATAGGACCTCTAAAGTGACTTCTGGTTTGTCTGTAGGTCCATTTTTCGCTCTTCGGGGCCTTCAGGAAAGATCCTGAGGCCTCCGGAAGACATCGGGGGAGGCAGGGGGCTGTTTTCACCATCCCCAGGCTCCTAGGAAGCTTCTGGAGTCTGGGGAGGGCAAAAAATCTGTGCTCAAAGCAGAGGGGGGTGTCGCTGGTCACGCACATAGCATTATGGATGTGGCACGCCTGCGCACGACCCCCCTGTGCTCCCCGTTTTTGATACAGGAGCCAGAAAAGGTTTGCCATCACTGCTATAGGTCAATATATATTGAAGATAGTAGACAGCTTTTCTATGGAAGCTGAATATGAGATCCCTAAGCCAAGATATTCAATTATTGGCAGTTTTCCTATAATCGTATCCATCTTCCCTCCTCAGGGAGACATTATTTTTCATACCACACCTTCTATTCTTTATATTCAAAAATACAAAAAGCACTCTTGTAGACACTAACATATGATTAACAGTTGCCTTTGTAAGAATTTGCCATATCATGCATTATTAAGTGGTATGTGCCGTATCACTTATTACTAAAAGAATTATAATCTGAGGTACACACACATACAGAAGCCACCAGTCATTTATTGGGTCATCGTTTCAGAGATGTTTCCTTACTAAACAGAGCAGCAGAATGACTTCCTACCAGCTTCCTCACTAACTGTGTTTGTGGGAAGCTGGTAGGGAGCATCAGAAATCACTCCTCCTTGACTGACCTACGGAACTGCCTGCCATTTTGCTGGGAAGAAGGGGACAAAGAGAGTCATGGACCATAGGGAAAATTGTACCCCACAACTCATCCTGATATGTCCACAAGAGCACCCTCCCTCAGGGGGGAGGAGGATTCACTCACCCACTACCAGTGACCCACAGCTAGATCTATCTTGCCAGCAGGCATCCAAGTCCCTCCTTCATCCTTCCCTTGCTACCCACTGCCATTAAGAGATTTCAAATTTTAGTCTCAGTTTCAAAGTCACTCACCTGTCAAACCTAGCCTCCATTCAATTGGATGCAATGGTCAGAGGGAGGCAGGAAAGAGGGTAAAGGTATGGCCCTCCCATCTTCCCTTGAGCCACCCAACTGATAGATTTTCTGGGAAGTGTAATTGGAAGGTGTGGTGATGCTGAAGCCGCTACAACTTCCATGAATTTCATTCTCACAGGAATTATGGATCCCAGAATTCTATATTTCAGTTTAATTAAAAGTAACCATTGGGTTCAATAATTGCTGCTCTACACCTTCCAATTTATTATGGGCAAACGTATGTGCATGACATATGGTGACATTTGTCATGACACATGACATATACTTCCATAATTCTGTAAAACACCCAAAGTCATTGATGTATGAGCAATCTCATAAAATAACTAAAGCACATAAATGTTGTCCTTAACCTGTCTCAAAAATAATACTACTTGATAGCTCAATGGTCATTATAAATATCTGAGGTGTATGCTTCATAATTACTTAAGAGTCACTCTATGCCCAAACCTACTTCTCTAGTAGAGAAACTCTTTATCTTCTGGAACCAAAATGTATTAAACTTAGAACTTTTTATAACCACAGGCTATCAGATTCTGGGTTACTGCCTCTCATTGGACCACATAAAATATATGGATATACTATATATCCACATGATCAGAAATGATTGTTCAGTCTCTTCTTAAAAACATCCAGTGATGAAGCACCCACAATTTCTGAAGGCAAGCCATTCCACTGGTTAATTGTCCTCACTGTTAGGAAGTTTCTCCTTAATTCCAGATTGCTTCTCTCTCTCTGATTAGTTTCCAATTATTATTTGTGGTTATATATGGTGGCACACTGAAAAACTGCCCTATATCAATTCCGAGGTTCAATTCCTGGGCCTCTTTCTCCTGTCTTTTTAAGTCAACATTGGCTTTCATTTTTTTTAGTCTAAGAGTTCTCTGGAGCCTATCCCTTGACTTCCACATTTCTATCTATGGCCTGAAAACCAGGTTTCCCTACAGAAACTTTCATGAAAATAAAGAGATGAGAAGTGACAGCCGCTTTCAACAGCTTCAGATGGAAAAGGGCAATATTGCCATTCACAGGCTGCTCTAAATGATTTCCCAACCTTCAAAAATGGAATTTCATATCTTATAAAAGATGTAAGGATCATGCATAGTGAAGGTTATTATTGTGTTTATGATACCAAATTATTGGATGTATAGTAACATGTTCTGAACTATCTGTTTATCAAGATCTAGGACCATAGTCTCAAAATAGGCTTGCACTTTAATGAAAGAGGAGAAAAATTCTAACAACTGGTAATAATTTCGTCCTTGACTGAGAGGAAATATATATAGCTGACAACTTCAATTGGCTTGAATAAGCAATGAAACTATAAACACCCAAATGATGAAATACTGTTGGAAAAATGGCTCTGTAAGGCTTAAACAAGTTCTTTAAGTACAGAAAAATATCCTTGTGTACCAAGATCTGATTTGTTCAGACCATGATATTTTCAAGAACATAATATGGGTGTGCAAGTTAGACAGTAAAGGCTCAAGATGGGGGGGGGGACCCACATGCCTTTGAGTAATAAACCTGGCAAAGGATACTGTAGATATTAGGGGTTGCCAGATAAACTAACCAGTCAATATTGAGGAAATCAAAGCTAAACTTTCCACAAAACCTCGAATGACAAGACCAGACGTCATGCTATGGACACTTCAGGCAAAGAGACAGATAATTAGAGAGAGAGAAAATCTCATGCTTAGTCGGGTGGAAAGAAAATACGAAAGACAGTCAGGGTGAAGGGTTGGTACAATAAAAGTGCCCCCTGGTGCCATCCTAGCAAGGATCAGCCATCTAGAACTGAGCACAGTTCAGGGCAACTATTCACTGGGTCACGATGAATTGACATTGACTTGACAGCAACTAACAACATACGGGTCATGGGAGAGAGAAAAGGTCCCAGTGGAAGAGCAATCCTGTGTCCAAGTAAAACAGCTGCAATCCCACTGAGATATTTAACAGTTAAATCCAGCTGCAAGGAAGAATTTTTCAGAGACCACAGAATGGTAAACAATTATGTTTCCACAGTAAGGTGGAGATTTCATATGCACAAGAGGCTTCTTTCGGCGTTATTTCTGTGAGCAAACTGTAGGAGTTTAAATGTAGATTATCAGTGTCTATTAATGTTACCAGTAACTAGGACCACAAATTTTTGACTTTAATATTCTTTTGGGCCACTCCCCCCCAAAAAAATCCTTACTTCTGCAAATGTTAGCCAGCTCTGAAGGTGCAGACAATAATGCTACAAAAATATCTTTACTGGTGGTGTTAAAAACAGCTGTTAGCCCCTTACCACAGGGTCGTACTTAAGCTTTTAATAATAAAACATGATTTCTACCCACTGCCTCAATGCAGCAGACTTAAATTTTAAAAAATAATAATTTGTGCTTATTGATTACCATTTCTATAATGTGCCTATTTTGAATACAGATAATTCAAACAAATAAAAAATATTCATTGAATATATATTTAAAAATAAATTTAAAAATATTCAACATGTAAGAATTACCCAGAAAAAATTGCCAGCATAACCTATTAAAATCACAGATGCTCTTCTTTTATTCCAATAACAACATATTTGATAAATAGTTAGTCCTCAATTTACAACCACAATTAAGCCCAAAATTTCTGTTGCTAAGCAAGATAGTTGTAAAATGAAATCTGCCCCGTTTTACGACCTTTCTTGCCACAGTTAAGTGAACCCCTGCAGTTGTTAGGTTAGTAACACGGTTGTTAAGTGAATACGGCTTCCCCATGGACTTTGTTTGTCAGGTCACAAAAAAGGATCACATGACCCTGGGACACTGCAACCGTCATAAATATGAACCATAAATATGAACCAAGCATCTGAATTTTGATCATGTGATCATGGGGATGCTGCAATGATTGTTAACTATGAAAAACAGTTGTAAGTCATTTTTTTCAGTGCCGTTGTAAGTTCAAATGGTCACTAAATGAATGGTTGTAAGTTGAGGACAACCTGTACTACTGATTAACTGAAACATACTGTTTACATAATGATTGCTAAGATAAATCCATGATAAATTGTTGTAATTAAATGTCTTCTCAGATAAGATTTTCTAATTCAATGGGCAGATATTTTTCTCCTATAAACCATAAAGAAAGCTTTGAAGAATATACTGTATACATATCTATATCCTTCACTG